GAACATGAAAATCGAGGAGGTATTCATTGAAATTGAAAAATTTGAAATTTTCAACGTTTAGACATTTTTATTATTACCACGATGGTGATTACAATGTTAATGCTATTTTATAGTAGCGTGAGGGGTTGAGTTGTGGAATCGCAGCACATGAATAAATTTGAAGAGGGGAATTTATACAATGTTTTATTTGACACCGGCGCCGTACCATAAAAAATACTTGTGTGGAATCTTCAATGTTCAAACAAATGATTCTCGTATTACGATACAGCTGGGATGTATTTCGTGTACGTGAGTTTCTCAGAAAATTTCGCGACGATTCAACACAGCAAGATACGTGGGCGAAGGAAAAACTAAAATGGAATAAATAAAGAATGGTAAATAAATCCCAGATGATTATTTCACGTCAGTATATCAATGTTGGCGGTGTGAGATAAATGATAACGTCTTACGGAGACTCACAATCTCCAGAGTTATTTTTTCGAGGATTTCTCTTCCTCGGGGAATATTCCTGGTGAATTGTCTGATTGCGTTACCTTGGATCCTTGACCATCAGCTTTTGCATGAGATCACGAGCCTCTCCAGACACATCCTCGAACAGATCATCCGGGAAATCGAGGCGACATCGGCTAATATTGCAGAATGTTTCCTGTTTCGTGTCACCGCCGAATGGTGAACATCCTGTCAGGAGAACGTACAGCAAAACTCCCACCGACCACATGTCCGTTGCTAGACTGATCGGCTCGTAGTTCAGGACTTCAGGAGCTAAAAAATTATTTTAAAAATCGATTGAATTTCATCCCCAGGTCCGAATGGAATCCATGAAAACTAGTTCATAGGGTGAACAGTAATAACTTCTATGATTATTATTTTATCGATTATTATTTATAGATATATTGAGAAGAAAAGGGCGTGTGATAGGGAAGGAGTTGGTCGAAAGGTCTTTAAAGTTGTGGACCACTGGTTTGTAAAAGTGATAGCGATTAAATAACTCTGGTGATGCAGTAAATGTGTCCGCACCACCGGTGCAATTATACACCGAATGTCACGATGTGCATTATATATTCAATCATCAAAAGCATTACACGCATGCAATAACTACTAAGTGCATCAGCGAATTTAACCACTGGAATTAAAGAATTTTGTGTGATGTATTGCCGACACGTGGGTAGTTTTACCAGTGATATATATTTTATTCCCTTGATAATTTTACCGAAATGGTTATTATAATGTCTTGTGGGCTCGTTTCTCGGCTAGTTAACAGACCGGTTGGTGGAGTTATGGGGATTGAGGAGAGGGTGAGAGAAGAATTGTGTGAAATTGTTGACATTCATTTCACTTTTATCATCACTTTCACTTTATTATTTGAATTCTACACTGTAGCACACTCGGATGTTCATTAATATTCGGAGTGTTAGGTTTAACTGATCACTTTAGTTTATTTTTGGGTAATTTTTCAGTCGTTTTATTGCGGTGATAAATCGACTTACCAACATAATCGGGCGTGCCCAAAATTTCACGGATGTCTGCACCGTGACTTATATATCTTGAAATTCCAAAGTCACACAGCTTTACATCGCAGTCCGGGAATTCACCGGTTAGAACCAAATTTTGGGGCTGAAACAATTCAAAATTTTTCGTTTATTATAATCCTCTGGTTTTTGCAATTCCTTTGCGCGTTCAGAAAAAATGGATTTGCCTTTTCTGTTTGTTGAATTATTTGTTCTTTCATCTGATTATTACATTATTCCATATTATAATAAAAATGAGAATTAATTTGTTATTTCGTGAGAAATATTTCTCCATTTGACAGTAAATTAATAGATTCGGTTGGTATTTAGTATTTTTTATGGAATCATCATGTTAGATTGAATAATTTAATACTGGTGATTATTATTGCTATGGAATTTGGTAGGGAGGGGTTATTGGGAAATATTTCCGCGATAAACTGGTGGTAAATTTTCATGGTGAACACACGGAAGCAGAAGTTGATATCCGGATTGTGTTTGATATCTGCCAAACGTTTGATCTCTCGGAAAGTCAGTGCACCCCTGGGGTATGTCGATGGATAAAAAAGGAATTCTATACGCATTGCAACTCCGAAAGGAAATGAACTTTCCAGAGAAGTTGTACGTAACCCTAGTACGAGTTACGGTCTTAATCGCGAAAGTGGAAGCCATCGGGTGAATTAAACACACACGAGTGTCTTTCAACATTGCAACCTACAACACGTTTTACCGAATCGAGATTTCCTAATGTATCAATGCCAGATTAATCATGAACGGAAAAAAGACTAACACATGATTGAGAACATTGAAAATTAATTCTCTCGAATTTATCGTTGCATTATTAAAAAAAAACGTTGAAAATTGCGAATTGTGTAATCGAGAGGTGAAAATAGGGTTTGTCTATTTTTATTAACATTTTTTTATTGAGAGTTCCTTGAATTGCAAGATGATATTCAAAAAATTCATGAGCATTAGAGAATTCAAATAAATGTAGTAATTGGAAAATAGGAAAAATTCTGATTAAAATGGTAAAAATACCAAGTGAATTGAGTAAATTCGTAATTGAATAACTAGACTATTCATGTTCCGACATCTAGAATCACTGGTGCATGAAAAGAGGTTTAATTTTCATTTGAGAACTGAACGATCACTTATTTAAAACGAAAATGGAATGGAAAATGTGACCCGAGGTTTCCGCTTTGGATCTCTTGAATTTAAAGTTGGATGAATTTTTTAGGCACCTGTTGAATCAAATTTATATTGTTTGGGTGAGGGTCAACGCTCTCTCATTTGGTGTCATTGAAATAACAGACTGTTATAGAGAGTAATCAATCTTGTTTGGACTGAATGAATATATTTTTTTTTATTCTCACCGTTATATAAATAGTTTAATGCAATAAAAGAGGCATTTTGACGGCATTCTCAGCGTCATGAACGTCAGAAATGAAACGAGATTAAAATGATCGTAAAGGAATTCAATAAAAACAAAAGTATTGCTATAACTTTTAAGCGTCGATGTTCTCGGCTTTCGAATAAAATTCAGGGAGATTAAAATGGAAAGTATTTGAATTTATTCCAACAGTTAAATTTATTC